GCATACCCCCACCACACAGCCCCCCCCCGTCATGGCCCAGCATCTCTTGGGTGGATGGGAGGCAGGAGGCAAACCCTGGAGCCTTAGTGTAGGGGTGCACGTGGTCTCCGGGCATCTGCGGCGGGGGGAGCCCTTGCCGGAAGGGGTCGGAGCCGTAGACACTTTGCTCCATGCCCAGCAGCTGCTGGGGTGGGGGCAGAGCAGCGTAGGGGTTCAGCATCCCCTCCGGCCCCGCGCTGCCACCACCATTTGTCTGGGCTGGAAGACAAGAGCAAGCTGTCAGTGCAGCCGGGCTGCTGCTTTTGGCTCCCTTGGGAAGCCTGGAGAGGGCTGGAAAATGGGCAGACCCCGAGTGCGGGGAGGGCTGGGGGTGAGGGGGGTACCTGAGCTCAGGTGCTGGGTATTTTGCGGATCCTGCTGCTGCTGCTGTTGCCTCCTGGTGAGCTCCCTCATCTGGGAAAGGGGAAAAAAAATGGGGTGAAATCATCCCCTGGGCAGAGCGAGGAGGGAGGAGAGCTCTGGCAGCGGCTGCTGGGGGTCGGCTGCCCCCAGGCACCCACCTTTGCTCGCTGGTTCTGGAACCAGACCTGCACCACACGGACGCTCAGCCCCGTCTCAGCTGCCAGCATCTCCCGCACCTCGGAGAGAGGAATGACAGAGGTGTCTCAGCCCCCTTAGCTTTTTGGGGGCACTTTAGGAGGATACAGAGCAGCCGGGGCAAGGACTTGCCCAGAATCCAGGATACCCCTGGGGGGCTGGAGGCGGCTGAGAACAAGCTCTTCTCCCCATACCTTCCTGCTTGACTTGGAGGAGACCTCAAACGATGCCTCGAGTGCCCTCCGCTGCTGCGCAGTTATGATTGTCCGGGGTCTCTTGGGCCGTTTGTGATCCTTCCTGTCCTCAGCACCCTTCCCCGACACTCGGCCCCGTTTGCAGACGCTGTCCTCATCACGACTTTTGCCTAAGGGAGGGGAAAAAAAACCCAGCAGGTTCTTCACAGACAATGGACCACATACATCATTTTCCAAAATGTCCTAAATGATCTGGGAGACTTAAAACAAAGTGGTGTTGGTGGGTGGTGGTGTGAAGGTGTTGGAGGAGCTGAGGTTTGGGGCTGGCTGACCCATGGCAGCTCAGACAGGGGGAGAGCTGCTGTGACAGCTCTATAACTCTCTATGGTTTGGGGTCGCTCAGCCAACAGATGTGCTTTCTGGTTCTTCTTTTCCCCAACAGTCTGAGCGGCTGCAATATGAAACTCTGGGACACCTGATTTTCCCTCTATCAGCCCCAAATCCCTGCCTGCTCCACAGGGATCTCCTGCCAGGGCACAGCCAAGGCAGGAACAAAGTGTTTAAAATTCACTTGCTTCTCTAGAGCTTTTTCCTCCCCAGTCTGGGAGCAGAGCAGGGCGAGTGGAGGCAATGGTTCCTGCAGAGGGGCAAGGATGCTCTTGGGTACCAGTTACCTCCTCCCCCGTACTGCTGGGCTCTCTCCTGGGCTCACCAGCCACTGTGGAGACCTTCCCTGTGGTGAGGGCTGGGACACAGAGAGATGTCCACCTTGGTGGTCCCCAAAACAGCCTGTAGCTGGGTGCTGGCCTCCGGGAGCTGGTGCGCTGCTTCTGCTGCTCACCCACAGCACCTCCACGGCACGCCACCAGCAGCGATGGCAACGGGAAAGACAAACTGCTGGTTTCTTGCACGTCCCAATGGGAGAGACATAGTCATGCAGAAGTTCTCCAGCTCCAGTGCTGGAGACCCCCGAGGCACGGAGTCTCTGAGGCTGATGGAGCTGAGCAGCGGATGCCTCCGTCTCCTCCTCAGCGCCAGCACAAGCAGGGGCTCAGCTTGGCTGAGCTGCCTGCTCTCCTGGAACCTGAAGGAGTTTAATTTTGACTGAAGGGTACAGATTTTTTACAAATACTGGAGGGAGGTATGTCAACTGATGGAGACATTTCAGTTCCTGAACCCCTCTGCACCTTCACACGAGGTGAGCACCCCAAATCCCCCTCGTCCCAGAGGGACAGAGCCCAGCAGGGGGAGAGCCAGAGGCTCATGGACTCTATTGAGTAAAAGATGCTCAAAACCAACACGAAGGGGGAAAACCACACTCCCAGCAGCACCTCCCTCCTTCCCAAACCCTCCCCCTCAACACCTGCTCCCCAAATCCCTCCCAGAGTCAAAGGGAAAGAAGGAAAAGCGAAGCCGGATTTGGCAAGGTATTACTTTCAATTAACTCTCCCTTTCAAGCCTTTCCCCACCAAGGAGGGAGGAGAAATGAATGAGTGTCTGGGGCTGCCCCTGACGTCACCTGGGAAGGGGCCGGGGCGATGGATATTGTGCCAGGGGTTGGGTTTCTGACCAGCCTAGGGGTTGTGGTGCCCTTTTGATCCCACACTGGCCCTTCACGTCCCTTGGGTCTCAGCTGGAGTTTCCACCCAAATAAGTATTTCCCATCGAGGTTTTTACTAATTGAAGCTCTCGGTTTGGCCAGAGCCCCTGGCAAAGGGGCTGGACCATGAGCCAATGAGTCGCTGGGGAGAAAAAGCTTCCCAACCTTTCCCAAACTGCCCTTTTCCCCCACTAGGAATAAACCCAAAACATTGTGGGACCAGAGGCCAATTCACTTTTTTTTTTTTCCTGCATGATATCTCCTCATTGGTTCCTATTTGAACTGAAAGAGTTTGTATATCCCATAAGGAAAGAATAATAATTCTTCAATCAATTAAGGATTTTCCCAGGGCTAAGACCAGAGCTAGTGTCAGTGTGCCGGATCCTGCTGCTTTCCTGCCCCTCCAGCTCCTCCAGCATTGGACCATCACTCACTGGCTCCCTTCGTCCGCCTCCTCCCACGGCCTCACTCTGTATTTTAAAATATCATCCCCGCTGTTCAGGGTGAGGCTTTTCTCTTCCGAGCGAGCTGGGCTGCAGTGCTAGGACAGAGCCAGCCGCAAAGCAGCTGGGCTCTAGGTGCTGAGGAGCACGATATTGAAGAGAAACATGGGTTTTGAGCGATTTTGATTCCATCCCCACCAACGTCATCCCTGTCCCTCCACGCACCTTCCCCCAGCGGCAGCATCACCTGTGCCTGCTGGTGAGTGCCAGGCTTTGCCATGGCTGTGACCTGCCCCACTTGGCACCTTAGCGACACCCTCCTAAACAGGCTCATAATGCTGGGGTTTTTTCCCTTTTTTTTTTTTTTAAATTCAGATGCATTAATGCAAGGATTTCTGCTAACAGATCATTTTCACCACCACTACGACCCGCCCCTCATTGCTGGGTTTTCTTACTAAATTTGTCTTCCTAGTAAACATTCAGATTCAATTTGCATTGACTGCAGATGATACATATTTTAATGTTGATCTGATGCTCGGGGCAACCTAACCCAGCAGTGACCCCCTGGCTGGAGCTGGATGCTCCAGCAGGGCACATCTCCAGCCACGGGGCCACCTCTCCTGCAGCCCTCCTTGCCTCAGCAGCATCCCCGCAGCGTCCCCACGCCTGCTCTGCAGTCTGGCTCTGGCCATCGACTGCCTGGGCAGCCCCTGGGGACACGAGATTTGCAGGCTCCCTGCCCCCAGCTCCTGTTTTAGTTCCGTGCCTCAGTTTCCCCTCTCTATTCAAAAGGGGGGCTGCAGCAGAAGCAGCTCACTTCTTGCACTCAGCCTGTCCAGAGTCCCAGGCAGGGACAGTGAGGCACACGGGAGGAACACAGAAGTTTAGCCCAAGGTAGTCTGGAGGATGCTTGGGACCGTGATTTATTGGTTTTTTTAGGAAGAAAACTCTCATTTACAGTGTATTTATACCCAGGGCAGCCCCTTTGTTTTCCTGGGGCAAGAGATGGGAGATGTCACCTTCGGGCAGCACCTGGGGAGCTGTACACCCCCAGGGATGGGGTGCTGGTGCCCTGCACAGCCCAGGAGCAGAAACCCTTAGAGCAATGAGCCTAATGAGACGGGATGGTCCCCAGAGCATCCTCCAGCCCTGCAGCCTCTCTGCTGCCAAGGTCCCCGCTCACACCCTCGCTGCCAAGGCGGGAGAGACTCTGGCTGGAGGATGCAACGGTGTTTATAGACCTTTTCCCTTTGGCCCATGGGGCAGAGGTTCAGGGCCGCGAGCCCAAACCTTGCCTCCAGACTCCACCTTGGAGCTGGCAGGGACCAGCCTGGGAGACACCGGGTGTGGGTGGCCCCTTACCAGAATGCGACAGAGCCGGGCTCACCAAGCTCAGCAGCTCCCGCTCCTTCTCGTAGTCGCCCTTACAGAGGAGCTGCCCCTCCTTCAGCACGAACTCGTCTCCCTTCTGCAGGCGCCGCTGGCAGACGCGGCAGCAGAAGCAGCGCAGGTGGTAGACGCTCTCCTGGGCGCGCATCACCAGCTCGCTGGGCGCGATGGCCTCCAGGCATCCGGCACACTTCCCCGCAAAGAGCCTGGGGGAGCAAGAGGAGACCCCGTCGGGACACCTGGTGGCACGGTGGCTGCACCCAGCAGATGGCACAGCACTGGGGACATCATAGTCAAACCAGGCACCGACTGCAGGAGACCTGAATCCAACCCCAGGATCCTCTCTGTGGGTGTGGGAAATGCTCAGCCTCTGCTGAAAGCAGGTAGGTGCACGCAGGCACACAGTGCAATGTGAGAAAATAAATAGTTTGCAATGAACACAACATGATTTCAGCCCTGCATTGAGAAACGCACACGGCACCCTCCCGAAAAATCCAACCTTGGTGGGAGAAAACACCATTTCCAGAGAGCTGGCATACAAAACACGGAGCACCTTACGTCACCCATGATAAAATGAAAAATTTGGTCTTCCATTAGTGAGCTCCCAACAAAACAGATAAGCAAGAAGATCCAAAGCCCCCCAGATAAAGAGAGACTGGTGCCCCCAGCCCGACGCTGTGCCCCTGCTGCCAGCACAGCCCTGGCACGGCACCGCTCCGCCTGCCCCGTGCCTTTCCCAAAAGCTTGGGGATCTGGCTGTCCCTAAATATTTGGGGTGGGAAGCCAGGGATTACAGAACTCCTCTCCTGGGCAACCGAGGTTTGATGATCTTAAAAAAAAAAACAAACAAAAAAACAAACAAAAAACCTCCCAAAACAACAACAAAACCCACCAAACCAAACCCAAACCAAACCTCCAAAAGAGCTGCAATGAGATGCAGCCGGTTTCACAGAAACCCGCGAGACGATCCAGGTGCATCCATTGCCCCTGAGGACCAATAGCACCAGGAGAAGACAACCAGGGACCAGGTGGCTTCCTTCTGCCTGGGAAGGATTCCTTTCAGGTTCAAAGTGTTGAGGAACAAAATCAAAGTTACGGGCCAGCATCCTGTGGCCGGAGGCTTTCACACACATCTGCTCAGTGTTTGCCATGTCAGGGAGCAACCATTCTGCCCCCCTTCCTCTACCTTCTGGAATCTTTTACAAATATACAGAAATTCAAATTTCTCATGAAAACACATTCATGGAAAAAAATAATATTATTTTGGGTCAACCCCAGTATCTCACCCTAATAAAATCCAAATATTTCCTCCCTGCTTTAAAGCTGTTCTTTACTCCTATTACAGAGGAGACGCTTTATTAAATCACAGGCAGAAGCACAGTCCTCCAGCCCAGCCCCCCGTTCCCGTGTCAGTGCCAGTGTCTGCACCCCCTGTTTGCAGAGGGCACAAGCCAGAGACAAAATGGAGCATAAAGGGACAAAGAACATCTTGGGAAGAAAAATATCGGGGACATGGGATGTATTGAGAACCCCTCCTCGGCTGCGCACCACAGGGTTCACCAGAATTGGGGAATCATGAATCCAGACCCAAACCTCATTTAAAAAAAAAAAAAAAAATAAAAAAAAATAATTTTCTCATCATCTTTCTTTCTCCCCCCCCAGCCCCACACTTGCCAAAGGGGAAGTGTTGAGGCTGGAAGCTTTAACCTCCTACATCCAATTTCCTGCTCCATCACAGCCCCAGCCCTGGGCAAAGCCTCCAGTCTGCGAGAGCAAACACTCCAAATTCAGCGGGGCCTTCCCTGGTCCCCGCCGAGTGCCTCAGTTTCCCCCCCTGCCCACGGGGGAGCAATAGCATCCCCCTGCCCATGAGGATATTAGGAAAATAGCCCCATCCAGGACCGTGTCAGGGAGGATGTAACGTTCCTCCTGCAGACGCTCAGTAGGAAAATAAAGCCAGAGGAGATGGGAAAACGCTTTGCCCCATCCCTCCACAGCCCCGGCCTTCCCGGGGGGTCTCACAGGCTCCTAAATTTCCAAGGCACAAAGCAAGCACAAGGAAACACCTGGAAAAAAAGAGAGACCCGGGGAGGCGAGGAGGCTGCGGGGGAGAAGCACAACTGGCCACGCAGCACCGTGAGGCTGACACCTCTCGGGACGAAGCGGGGAGCTGCAGGGGGACCCCAAAAACAGCCCCCCACGTTTTGGGCAGGGGGCTGGGGCTTGGCAGGCGGTGGGAGCGGAGCGAGGGGAGGGGGGCTGAGCGGGGCACACTTACTTCTCGTAGTCCAGCTTGCAATAGAGCTTCCTATCGCGATAGAAGCAGGTGGTCCGCAGGGGCTCCTTGCAGGACACGCACTGGACACACTGCTTGTGCCACGGGCTGTCGTTGAGGCACAGCAGGACCCGGTCCGAAATGACTCGCTGGCACCCTTCGCACACCCACTCGGGGGTCGCGGCTCTGCCTGCGGGGAAGGAGCCGGGGTGGAGGGAGAGGCGGACGGGGAGACAGACGGGGCGAGGGACGGAGGGAGGACCCCGCTGCTCCCGCTTCCCCTCTGCAAGCTGGGGGGTGAGGCTGACACCTCTCGGGACGAAGCAGGGAGCTGCAGGGGGACCCCAAAACAGCCCCCCACGTTTTGGGCAGGGGGCTGGGGCTTTGCAGGCGGTGGGAGCGGAGCGAGGGGAGGGGGGCTGAGCGGGGCATACTTACTTCTCGTAGTCCAGCTTGCAATAGAGCTTCCTATCGCGATAGAAGCAGGTGGTCCGCAGGGGCTCCTTGCAGGACACGCACTGGACACACTGCTTGTGCCACGGGCTGTCGTTGAGGCGCAGCAGGACCCGGTCCGAAATGACTCGCTGGCACCCTTCGCACACCCACTCGGGGGTCGCGGCTCTGCCTGCGGGGAAGGAGCCGGGGTGGAGGGAGAGGCGGACGGGGAGACAGACGGGGCGAGGGACGGAGGGAGGACCCCGCTGCTCCCGCTTCCCCTCTGCAAGCTGGGGGGTCGGGGGG